ATATACTTTTGTGTTTGTTTTTGATTTTTTTTTATTAACTCATTTTATTTTACTAAAGTTTAGGTCTGTGACCAATAGAAAATAAAGACCAGTCATTTACCACAGTGTGTTTGAGAAGCTCCGAGTAAGATTCTAGCAACTGGGGACTTGGATTCCACACCCCGAAGTCACTGTCAAGCTTAAAATCTGATGAAGAACTGAAGTTGGGCAGGGATTGAGAAGTTTCTGGGACACCAATACTTGGCATGAGAACAAAGTGGATCCTCTATCCGCCCCCCCACCCACTATGTGATCTGGCACAATCTTCTTTAATTTTAACAGAAGAGGAAGGTCAGCGAGGTGACCTGGCTTGTCTAAAGGCACTGTTAGAGGCTAACATTTCAGTCCAAAGCCCAGGTCTCTGAGTCTCAGCCTAATCCCTCTCCAGCGATGATGGGCATCAAGTCCCTTATAACCAACACACACAAAGGAAACCAGAGTGAGAATCAAGTCAACAACTTTTATTGTTATTCACATATTTCATAGAAAAAAGAATGTAGCAAACAGGTCAGTTTTGTACTAGAAAAAAAAAAAAAATCCAGGCTTGTCCATGTCGCTCTATTTACATCTGGGAGCAGGGCTCTCCCACATCAAGCACAGCAGGTGCACTTATCCGATGCCCCTTTGCAGACGCAGCCCTGGGCGCACTTGGCACAGCCTACGGGACAGCAGGAGCAGCAGCCTGTGGACGGGGAGGAGACGACAGAGATGAGCGCTAGGGATAAAGGGAATAAGGATTCCCGCCCTACCTGATAGGGATCACTGCGGAGGTGCCAATTCCAGGAGGATGGGGCATCCCCAGCCTGCTTAAATTCCCCAGGATGATGTAGAGGGCTGAGGACGGGTTACGGGGCGGTGAAGGGCTAGAGGAAGAGAGGATTCCACTCACTCTTCTTGCAGGACGTGCATTTGCAGTCTTTGCATTTGCAGGAGCCGGCGCAGGTGCAGGAACCACCTGCAAGGAGAAGGGCAGAGGTGAGAACGATCCCTGGAGACCTGAAAGCGGGACTGCGTGCTAATAGCACGCGTTCGAGTCCCTCTGTTACGCAGCCAGCCCATGGGAACTTGGGCAAGCCGTTAATTCAGATCTCCCAGAGGTTAAAAAAAAAAAAAAAAAAAAAAAGAGTGAAGTTGTGAAGCTTTTCTGCCAAGAGCACTACCCAGTTCACACATCTGGTCAACATGCACAGACACTGCTGTTCACACAGGATACAGGGGCACGTCCTCTGCCACTGCTGACTGAGGTCTCCTTGCTATGCCATGCCACCTTCACCAGCAATGCCTTCTTCTTTCTCACATTTCTGTGAGTTGAAGTCTCTCATGGCATCCCAGCTGCAAGGAAGCTTTGGCCTTGAGAAGGCTGAACTCAATGTCCTGAGGTTCATTCAAATTCAGTGGGAAAGAGTGCTGTGATTGATTGGCAATGTCTGTCGTGGGTATGAGAAATGAAGATAAGGGAATATGTTATGGACTGACTGTGGTGTCCCCCCAAAATTCATATGTTGAAACCCTAACCTCCAATATGGCTGTATTTGGATATGGGAGGGAATTAAGTTTAAATTAAGTTATACGGCTGGGGCCCTGATTCAGTAGTATTAGTGTCCATATGAGAAGCGCACCAGAGAGCTCACACCTCCCAGAACTGAGCTCTCCCAGTCCCTCACCACTGTGAAAACTGCCCAGTGGGAGACAAGTCTTCCTAAGAAGGCGATGGAGTGGAGTGATTAGGGACGTGCCCTGCAGTCAGACTGCATCAGTTCAAAGCACAGACATTGTATTTACTAGCTGTCTGACCTGTGGAAATTCTTTAACATTTCTGTGCTCAGAGACATCCTCTGTAAAATGTAAAATAACAACTAACACCAACAATAACCACCTGTATGGGTTTACAGAAGAGTCTAGCACAGAGGAAGCACTCAATACATGGCACGATTAGTTCCTGTGTTTTGCCAGAGGGTACACATGTTTTTCAGAGAACATCTCCTTGGACCTGCATTCTTGAATCTCAATCCTTGTTGATGTTTTCCCCAACCCTGAGTTTTGTTGCAGGAGGGTGCTTTAGGGCCAGCTTGATCGCCGGCTCTTTTCTAGTTCCACCCAAGTCTCCTTTCTCCTTCCTGAGAGTTTAGAAGAATTCAAGGGCATCATCTACCCAACCCCCACTCCATTATTCTCCCAGAGCGCTGGAGAGAGATCTCCCACCTCTCAGAGCACAACCAGGTCAGGTCTCCAGCTCCCTGCTCCTTCCCTGACTGATGGAGATGCAAGCTCAAAAGTCTGCCAGTCAGGCTGAATGACAGGGTTCTTGGCTGCAGGAAACCTAGCTGTGTCTGTGGAGCATGGAAATCATCTGGACCATGGCCTGAGGTCCTCTGGCCTGGCTCTGTATAACTGGAGGGAACATGTCTCCAGGGCTCATGATGAATGGAGTGGAGAGGGAGGATATTCAAATGTTTGCATTCCTGACATGGTATGGGATGAAGGAGATGAAGCCAAGCAGTGTTGAATGGCCAACGGAGAGTAGACATCACCAACAAGAAAGAATAAGGTTCGAGAAGCCACGAGTCTTGTGTTCAGGAAGATCATATTCATGGGGCAGTTCCATGGGTGAACAGGAAAAAGTGATGGAGGGGGCGCTGGGGCGTGGGGGGAGCGAGAAGAGGAAGACCCAGTCCAGCCCAGAAGAGATGTTGCATCGTCTTGGGCCAGAGAGTGAGAAGGTGTGTGCCAGGCAGGGAGGGGGAAGTTGTGTTCCAGCCTGGGGAGGGAGTAATCAGCACGAAAGTTGGCATTGCCCTGGAACATTTGGAAGGGAAACCGTCACAAGAACTTTCTTCCCCAGTGGATGCTGAGGGGAAGAGCAGAGGCGGTGTCCAAATTCCTCTTTGTGGAGGGACATCCTGTTTCCCCGCCTGCACGTGTCCGGCCACTGTGTAACGGTGTTACATCATCATTCGCCTTGGAATGCCCGAAGTGTGTCATCCGAGGAGTCAGGAAACGGTTACTGGAAGCTCTCTGGCAGGCTTAGTGAATGCTGGCTGCTGCAGCGGAAGTTGGTGAGGTGGTGGCCGGGAGGAGGACAGGCTGTCCTTGCAGTGCTTTCTGTAAGCACCTGTGGAAGTATCTGTGTACTTCAACTCAAACATCACTTCCTCTGGGGAGCCTGCCCAGACCCGCATGCCTGTGGATGCCCCTGGAATGTGCTGGTAAACATCTTGTGCTTTTTCTGTACTGCACTTTCCATGTCTGTCATATATGGGAACTTATGTGATTCTTGGGTTGAGGTCTGTGCCCCTTGTCATCCCTGCCTGACAATGAAAACTGCAAGAGCAGTTGTCCTTCCTCCCCTGGAATCCTGTCTCCAGCCCCCAGGACAGGGTCAAGTTTGCAGTAGGCACTTAATAAATATTTGTCAAATGAATTAATGGGGGTAATCCCCTGGACTGTTCCTCCCTTCTCAGCCCCCTTCTTGCATTAGAGCCAATTACAAAATGAAAGTAAACAGTTTTTTACCACGATGCAAACTGTGTGCTAACAAGTAAAAACATCAAGCAGAGTGGGAGAAGCAAGCTGTTAGAAGGACTGAATTCTGATGGTCACTGCCACTCACTTGCTGAGCGACCTTGGGGCAGTTATGTGCTAAGGCCCCTCTGAGCCTCAGTTTATTCATCTGTGAAATGATCAGATTGTACTAGAATTTAAGGGTCATATTCAGACATCCTCTGATGTTAGAGCCAAGTTCTCAGAAATTTCACAGTGTCTGGCAGCCCAGTGGAGTGAAAGCTCTTAAGGCAGTAGGCAGATTTTGTTGTTGTTGTTATTGACATATGTATACACATTCAGACATCCTCTGATGTTAGAGCCAAGTTCTCAGAAATTTCACAGTGTCTGGCAGCCCGGTGGGCTGAAAGCTCTTAAGGCAGTAGGCAGATTTTGTTGTTGTTGTTATTGACATATGTATACACATTATATACCAAATCCCTGGTATCTAATAAATCAGATGGTCCCCATCCACTCAGGGGAAACAATCCAACTCTGTGAAGAGACAATAGGGCTTGTTTTGCACTGAAAAGTGTTGAGTCTAGCCCTGGGTTTATGCCAGCCATGTTGGCAGTAAAATTTGCTTTTGGGCCTAAGCTGTCTCCCTTAACTCACTTTTACTCTGTGAAGGGAGGGAAGGATGATGAATCAGGGAAAGTGGAGGGAGTCACAGGCCTGGTCTTGTTCATCTCTGTGTCCCAAAAGCCTCACTGTGCTTGAGACAGAGGTGGAGAGGGAGGATATTCAAATGTTTGCATTCCTGACATGGTATGGGATGAAGGAGATGAAGCCAAGCAGTGTTGAATAAGGAAAACATCCCCCTGAATATCTGGTGTGAGTCATCAATGTGAGGTGATGATGTGGCCCTGATTAATAGAAGTATGCCAGCTAGAAGGAGGGAGGTGATTTTTCACTCTCCTTTTATCTGATGATGTGGATATATATAGTTCTGCTGCCCAGCCATTCATTCATTCAACCCCTGTGCTGGTATGCTTGGTTTTCCTTTGGAGAATCACCCTTCCCCACTTTCAGTCTATATGGTTTTGATGGAGTAGGCCCCCACTTGTGGGCTCCCAGGACATTCTACCTCCCTGGCAACAGTGATCGGCTCTTTGGGGTCACACAGCCATGTACCAAAGAGAATCAATGAAACTTTGGCTGGGAATGTTGGGAGAGTGGCAGATACTTTTTCCGTCTGGACTTGAACCTGAGAGGATGTGAAGCTGAGTTACTAAAGCCTTTTGTCTCCGTGAGAAGAGCCTGAAAATAAAGTCATCACAAAGGAAATGGAGACTGACAACATCATTGGAGCACCTGGATCCAGCCATGCCTGAAGCCACTGTGAGCCAATAATTTCCTTTTTTGCTTAAATCATTCTGGATAGAGTCCTAACTGGCACAGTTGGGTAGACCACCCAGAGGGCTGTGTCTCTTGTCCAGATCACAATAGTCTTAAGACTCAAAACCCTACCATGTAAGCAACAGCTGAGAGGGATGGGCAATCTAGAAGAGTTAACTTCAAATATTTGACAGTGGTTGCTCTAATTATCTATAGCTGTGCAAAAAATTACCCCAAACTTAGCAACTTAAAACAACAACCATTTTATTGTCTTGCCTGGTTTTGTGAGTCAGGAATTCAAGCAGGGTTCATTTGGGTGATTTATTTTGTTTCATGTATCATTGACTGAGGTCACTTGGTGGTATTCAGATGGTGGATGGGCTGGTCTGGAGGATATAAGATGGCTCAGCCATATGCCTGGCACTTTGGCAAGGCTGGCTGGAAGGCTGGGCTCAGCTGGAACTGTTGACCAGAGCTCCACATATGGCCTCATCAGCAGGGTGGCCTCAGCGCAATTAGGCTGCTTATATGGTGGCTCAGGGCTCCAAAGGTGAAAGTCCCAAAAAGACAGAAGGGGTAACTGTGAGTCTCTGAAGTCCTGGGCCCTAAAACTGGCACAGGTCATTTATACGACATTCTATTGGTCAAGCAGTCTCAGAGCCTGCCCAGATTCAAAGAGAGGAGAGAAAAACCCCATGTCTCCATGGGAGGAGTCAAGGAATTTGCAGGTATCTCTACTCTGCCACAGCAGTAGTGGGGAATGATATTGAGCAGCTACTATGCACCAGGACTTGTGCTAAGGACCTTATGGGTTTATCTCACTTAAACCTCAACACAGCCCTATAAAGCAGATGCTGTTATGATCTCCATTTTACACTGAAGAGTTATGTGATCCCACTGAGGGCAGATTTGAACACACACCTATGTGTTTATGCCCTGCTGAAAAGAGGAAATTAGGCCGGCTGTCTGTGGTCCTAAGGGCAGAACCAGGACAAAGGGTGGGGTTAAACAGATAAAGATTCTGTTCCAGGTGAGAAAGCTCTTTCTTGTAATTATAGCTGGTCATGAGTGGAAGAGACCAACCTTGGGAGATAGTTCTCTGTTACCACAGCTTTAGAAACAGAGGCTGGCAGATTCCAGCATTAGATAGGGGGACAGAGAGAGGTTAGGGCCGTTCCTCCCTGAGAGATTCTGTGATTCTGTG